TGACTCGAGTCTGACTCGAGTCCAAGTCATGTGACTCGAGTCCACACCTCTGGCTAGAGGACCATTTAAGGAAAAAAGAAGCATCTTAAAAAGTTTTCTCAGAAGTAAAGAAGGGGAGAGGTTCACCAATCTGCATAAAACAGTGTCTACCGATTGTGAAAGAATTGTGTTCCTCACTGTAAAACTGTGAAGACTTTAAATATCTCGTCATCTGCAGTAAAAAAATATCATCGAAAGATTCAGAGAACCTTGATAAATCTCTTTTTGCAAGGGACAAGGTAAGGCAATATCTTGTTTCTGTTGGTTGAAATGGCAAAAAGTTGTTAAAAGAGCTTTAAAGACAGTTTTTCACTGTGGGTTTTACTTTTTCTTGTGAGACAGGAACACGGGGTTTGATGCACCAGTCCTGCTATGGTCATGTTCAAGTGTTCAGATACATTGTCATCCTCAGCGGAAAGATTGTGAAAGCCTTTCCTACTTGTGGTTAGGCAAATTCGATTTAATGTCCTACATCACTCAGATGCGCGTGCATTAAAGACAGACATGATTCTGTCATGAAGACAAAATGCTGATCTGCCTTTTTGTAAAAGGTCCATACTCTCATTATAAAGACTCAATGTATTTTCTAAGTTTTGCTGTGAATAAAATCGATTGCACTCAGTTTTTATTTACATTTTAAAAAGTGCCCCAGCTGTTTTGAAACTGGGTTATACTATACAGGCAGAAAGTCAAAAGACAAGGGCAAACATGCCTTCAGCCATTCAGGTTTTGTGCATGCTTACTATTGTCAATTTTGTGCGAAACAAAGAGGCTCTGATATCAGACTGAATCCTGCTTGGTTGCCCAATTCTAGCTCAAGAGAAACAGCTCTGCAAATAATTTTCTCTGCCAGGAATACCATACAAGAGCAGGTGTGAGGCCACTGAAAAGGGAAAAAAAGCAAGGTACACAGAGTAGCTTAGTATAAAGGCTGGAGACACTCGGGAAGGTTAGCCACGTCTGATGATGCGATGATGGCAAACAAACAAAACAATCCTGGTGTTGTACAGACAGTGTTGGGGAGTAACGGAATACATGTACCGCCGTTGCATATTTAAAATACAAAATATGAGTAACTGTATTCTATTACAGTTACTTTGTTGAAAAAAATGGATTACACTGCGGTATTTTCCTGTTTCATATGTTAGGCTATGCCCTCTCTATATTTGGTAATTCCACGCCGGTGAAAACCCAAATAAAACGCGCATGAAGAGGCTCTAATGCCTGTGTCTCAATCTCGCGGCCCTACTTGCGGGCCGCATAATGACGTGAAGAAATATTTTTTTGAATTTTTATTCCAAAAATGATTTAATATCAAGGCAATAGGCAGAGTGTTACAGGCATAGACCTAAAGAATGTAGCCTCATGGGCAGTGTAGTCCGTGCAGCAGGGAGAATGGACTGCTGTACCCGTTATGTGTCTGTGAGCACGAGGGAGGGAGAAAAAGGAGAGTCTAAAAGAAACGGGAGATGGAAGCATGCATGTCAGTCACCTCCTGCTGTACCTTCGTATATACTGTATATGCATGATCAAAGTATCAGAGTTTTCATCTAATGACCGAGAGTGAAAAAAAATCCACATATTGCTTTAAATTTAAACACAGACTCAAATTAGGGTGTGAGATGATTCTTTTTCTGTATCTTTACTTTCTCCTTTGTGGAATTTGCTGAAAAATACAGAAGAACAAAGTCCAGAGCCGATAAGACGGTGGATTGTTTCCGAGGGCTCACCTGTGTCTGCCGTGCTGGGATGAAACAGCGTGTTCGTGTAGGTGACGAACTGCAGCTGTCGGTTCATGTTCGGCAGCAGGCGGCTGGAAAGAGTCATGTGCATCTCGCCATCACCTTTGATTTTCACCTCGTCTACCTCCGCGGCCACATTTAGAGTTCCCAGCGTGGCAGTGATGTTTATCTGCATATGATGGAAAGAATAGCGGTCAAGGTCAGAGGACTGCAGGCATCTAAAATATTTAATGACAGACACTTTTGAGCACTCACTGAGTAATTATCTCTGGGAAGGTCATGTAAGGCCAAGCCTGGAAAAGGAGAAACAAACACTGATTGATTTTCAGTCCATTTCCTATATGCACCAGCTGGATAAATAAGGCCTTTCAGAGGGGTGACCTTACAATATATGTAGGTACAAAGAATATCCAGTATATAAACCACCTCTAGTTCAGGTTAATTTTTAATGTTTAGGGGCCAGTTTAACTACTTTCAAATGATAAAACCATGAGACTTTCAAAAATATCTGAGTTGCTCACTCGCTGAAGTCGTACCTGGGATGATGCTTGTTTTCAGGGGTCGTACTTCCACCCCCTGTGTCGGATACTGCAAGGGGCTGTTAGCCTCAGCAATAATGAGTAGATCTGCAGGGGTCTTTGACCTGAAATGAGATTTTTTTTTCCATCAACAAGCACAGCAAGCAGAAAGCAGGAAGCTCTTCGCAAATAACAGTCACAATTACTATTATCCGCGGATATCATTATTAAAATGACCTCACGTTTCTTACTGGAGAGCAAAGCTTTTGATAAAAACAAGTTTTGTCGTATTAGGAATTAATTTCAGTACTTCTGAAAAGTTTAAATTTTTCTGGAAAGGTGGCTAATTTTGTGTTACTTTTTAATTGCCTTCATCATTTCAAATGTTAATAACTAGAGTCAGTATTCAGTGGATTTTGTCTCACTGGCTCTCTCAGCCAGAGTTTATTCAATAAAGAAACTGAAAATTTAGTCTGAGTGATTCATAATAATGGCGTCGGGATTTGGGTTGTGACAGCGTCTGTGTTGCATGTAGAAGCTGTGTCGATGTTCACTATGATGCCTCTGTGTTTCTAAATGGAGGGACAGTAACTGTGTGTGTGTATGTAAGCGTGTAAAAACTGCAGATAGTAAGATTAAAAGCAACAGTATTTTATCTATACTTGCCATTGTACAAAATTCATCTCATGTAAACAATAACGTGACGCACAGCTTGACGTCAAAAAAAGGCGCTCACCTTTGACGTTGCGTGGCTAAATCTCTGTTTTCTTTGTACAGACGTAAACGCAAAACTTGAGTTTTTAAAAAACCTCTATTTTCAGTGATCCAGAACGCTTTTACGTGTGGACGAAAGGCCCGAACAAATAGAAAAAGCTGCATTTTCAAAAATACCCGTCTATGTAGCCTTACTAATGCACAACTCCTGCACGATCCACAGAGATGCGGGGAGGTTTTAAGGCTGCCAGTTGTGTACAGGAAGCAAGCAAAAAGCAAGGTCTGTGTTTATATATGTTCTAATGCATGTATATTCAAACCGCGTAGTAACAAACCACAAAGCGAAGCAGATCAGCAGATAGTGATGTGAGATCATGGATGATTTTCCACGTTAGAGATAGATAAGTCTAAAAAACAATTTCCTGTAGCGTGCACTGAGACAGATGGATTATTTCAAGTAACACATTTTGTTACATCATTATTTAATTTAAATAAAACAACACATCAGGCCACATAATAATATTTTAGTCACACAGATAAAAAAGTGTGAAACATCTCTTAAGTACTCCTTACCTCGTCTGAAAGCTGCTGTACTCTTTAGCCCGTCTCCTCTTCATCTCCTCCAGCTCTGAAGCCTCGAAGGCAGTGTGCAGCGGGTGAGCTGACACCCGCGGGAACAAGAGTTGTGCGAACGGTAGGTTTACCCCCCCACTTTCGCCCTCACATATGCATCCATTACGTGCCAGCAAACTGGACAGATTATAAGACACGTGTGATCAGATTTAAGCTCAGGTCCGTCCGCTTTGGTTCAAAATAGCATTACTTACCTCGCCACATTATCCCTTACATGGAAGGGAATATTGCTCAATCGATGGTCTGACTCAGGGACCCTCTCTTCCAGATGCCTCTCTACTATAAACGCTGGTCGCTGCCAAACATCCACTGTGGTATAACCCCGAGTGGGCCACGAATGGAGGAGAGCCAGTACTAGCACCACAGACACCAAGATGACTAGCAACACCGTCTTCCTCATGGACCGCATCCTGGAACCTGTCAGAGATTAGAATGCTGGATGACGCTCTGGTTTCTATAATTATACTCTGACGATATTTCCGAACAGGAATGCGATTTAAGTGACGGGAACAAAATCAACAGTCTCTGTTTTGTGTGACAACTTTGTGAGGTTTTGCTAAAGTTAAAAGGTTATGTCATCCCCCTGCACCACCCCTTCCACTTCAGCTCAACCCCAAAAACAGCCCACAGGAAGTTGTTTAATCGCAGTTGTTTAATTATAGTCTCAGAAGATTTTCTAAGTCGTCACCACAGCTACAGATCGATGGAAAATTATTCGCATTTTTGTGGTTGCACTCACAGTGGAGCCATTAAAAGAGATCTATATATCTGCTGAAAGGATCAGCATAATGAAATCATGAATGCCTTCCGATCCCTCATTCCCCTCCCATATTTTTTCTCCTCGAATTCTTCTAGAAAATTCTTCTGGAAACTTGCCAGCACACAATTACTTCTTTCTCCTCCAGCTGTGAAAAACAAAAACTCCATTTCTGATTCTGCATGCACTTGGGTGTGGGCGAGATGGTATTCTTGTAAATGGATTGCTCATATTGTGGGAACGTAAATATTATACACAGCTACAAAGTAGGAATCCAGCCTTCTTGTTAAAGACATAAATGCTTACATCTAATGATGACGACTTTGTTTATGTCCAGAGTAGGAAAAGTTTAGTGTTAGAAATAATGTAGAAAACCTTTGAAGTGATGGAATCAAGACTCTGTCTCTTGTATGTGTGTGTGTGTGTGTGTGTGTGTGTGTGTGTGTGTGTGTACATTCTGTAACCATTTAGCAGACAGACTTTCATTTCTAGCAGTTTAAAAAGTATTTATAGGAATATATACCTCACTGCCTCTATCCAGTCATTGAAAGGAAAACCTCTGTTGACACCTGCATCTCCAGAAACCATGTAAACATTCGTGGAAATGAGCAAGCGCCTTCTCCATCTGGAAAGAACAAAAAAACAACTCAAAGAGTACAGACTGAAAAAGTGGATAACAACTAATAATAATATAACAGAATGTACTCTTAAGAAACCTGGAGTGCATATAAACTTATATTATCATGAGGTAAGTGACCATGTAGTGTCATTAAGTGACTGCATGGTACCACAGCTGCCGGGGGAAATTAGTTTTTGTCACGAAATCAATCAATGTAGAGCAGTGTCACAAACCACGGAGGCCCCAGGAAAGTGCAATCAAACGGTGAGTTTATTAACACCCAGGAGAAAACATCAGCATATGTCTTCTGACAAAAATACATGTTGAGAACACTTTTAAAGCAGTGAGGTATCCGCCCCCCCATGGCGTAAAAATAGGTTAAAGACGTCAGTTATAGTAAATGGTACATTTTAGATGGCTATAAACAGACATAGAACTTCTCATTCCTATAACATCTTCCAAACAAGGTAATAACTTCAAGCCTTCGAGGTCTCTGAGGGCTGGTTGTCGACTCCGGTCATCTGTTACCAAGTAGGCTAAAATGCAGTTGGAAGCTAAATGAGTTAAGGCCTCAGGCCTGACACATTCCTAGATTATATGTATTGTAAGCATGTCTGTGAAGGTTCTCAGTCATCCAGGTCATCGTAGTCAAAGGAGCTTGCAAAGAAAAGCGTCTGGACTTCTTTAAGTTGCTTGAAGACGTTTCAACTCTCATCCAGGTTTCACAATGAACTCACCCGAAACTCTGGCTGATTGGGACCCACACCCAGTTTCACACCTTGGCTCAGGCGATTAGAGGATCATCAGGGGTCCTTTTGTCCCTCTGTGGGGGGTTACTCCCACTAGGTTTATATCTGGGACTCTCCACCATTTTACCTTAGAACTGAAGAAGCTTCTCGGATGAGAGGTGAAACGTCTTCAAGCAACTTAAAGAAGTCCAGACGCTTTTCTTTGCAAGCTCCTTTGACTATTGTAAGCATGCATGCAATTATCCTTCTATGCTTTAGTCCTTTTCACAATAGATTGTGAAAACTCGCGCTTCATAAAGCTTAAGACCTTCTTGTAGACTAATGCAATAACTCTAAATGAGCACAAATATTATGCAATGTGTATGAAATACTCCTGGCTGTATCTGTAATAAAAGTTAACATAATGAAAGGATCCTTAAATTAACATCTTCAATAAACAACTTTAATGTAATATCAATACTGTGAGAAATATTATTAAATGGAATAATGCTGTAGAATGTTATTAATGCAATTATAATGATGCAGGTTATATGGCAGCAATAAAAGAATTTCTGTATCTCCACATTTTACAAAGGGCTGGAGGGGAAAAGCTAAATCAATACAGGGGAAAGATTAATAGGATCAGAACTAGCAATGTTCCTCTAAATCAGCAGATGGCTTACAGATGGCTTTGGCCACTCACTGTCGTACCTTTCAGTCTAGTTCTTGAATAATCGGTAATCTGCTATACCTCAGAGTTTTCTTGCAGTTTTTCTTATGTTAAAAAAAAAAATACAATTTAGAATTGGTTCTTTGCCAAGTTATTAACTAAATGTGGACACCACACAGGTCATCCCCTGATTATGTTTGAATTGTTTATAGATCAGTGGCTTACAAAACAGCAATAACAAAAACATTCCTGTGAGATTGCTCAGGTACAAGGACCAGACTGAAACTAGGTCAATAAGCAGCCAACGACTTTGAAAGAAAAATGTTTAAGACCTTCGGGATGTCTACTTTTTAAATAATTACAAATCTGGCTTCCTGGAATCAAAATATAAAAAATGAGGGGTTGGTCTCGACTTTTTGCACAGTACTGTATTTCAACAGAGATTGTAAGGTAAGACAACATGACATGATGCATATCTGTGAAGATATGCCTGCAGTAATGCAAAACATTGCTTTGCATTACTGCAGGCCTCCCAGATTTGATCTCCCCGTCTGAATGATAATTAGCAGCGATAGTGGAACAGCCCTAAGACATAACAGATAATCTAAGCCAATCAGAACATAGCATAGCTGTGTGCTGCACGCTGTTGTCATTAACCTAAAAACGAGCCTATGGTAGGGAGTGCCGCGGTGAACATGCTATGGGCATGCATATAGTCCGTGGGTTCCTACCAAAGATTTGCTCGCATGTTTCGGACTATTTGGGATAATTAGCACAAAATTAGCACACCTTCCTTCGTACTGTGAAACATGAGGAAAATATGGAAAAAAATAATGCGAATGTGTGTACACAAATCCGAGGTAGCGAATATAAATACCCGGCTAAACACAGGCCTATTAGCCCTCCTTATTCTGAGTGAGAGCGCAAGAAAACCCATGCATCCGAAATTATCTTTAAACAGCACTTCTAATATGCTGAAAAACATCTCCAGAATAAAGACATACTGTGCATATAGTTATTTTACCACCATGTTAATGTCAAAAATTTAAAAAAAAAATCTCACGCCTATCCCCTCTTTGTCTATCAAAGAAGCTGTCAAACGTTCAGTCAGAGCTGAAAAACAACAACCCCAGAAAAAAATCCCCTGCCGAAGACGGGGACACGGGCCTTTAAAGCAGCACCCCACTGTAGAAAAAATCAAATAACCCCAAAGCTCACCTCAGTTAAGACGCACACTACAGACTCTTTCACCTCCCTGCTGCACGGAGCTCGCCCCTCTCTCACGAATCTGTTCCTCGGAGGTCTTGAAAACGATTATGCGGGGGGAAGAGGCGCAGAGAGGAGCTGCCGCGCATCGCAGCACTGCAGGCTGTTGGACGGATGCTCCCCCTGCAGCAACAGCGGCTGCAGCGCAGCGGTGAGCGCACCGATATCGCCGCTACACCTGACGCACACACACAGACATAGAGGAGAGGATAACACTGAACTGACTGCACGATTTCTCAAAAAAAAGAAAAAAAAGAAAGGAGAATTATGATCAAACAATAAGATTTATGTCTACATACATGTTTAGATTGGTGTGTGTGTGGGCGTCTGTGCACACAGTCGATAAATATGTGTACTGCTTTTTCAGCTTTTATAGTATCTCACCCTCTGTACTTCCCCTCCTCTCTGGTATTCTGTTAAGGAATGCTTTTTTTCTTCAAGGAACTCTTGATTTTTTCCTCACCAGATATTTAAACCCAGTAGTTTGACTGCACTTTTCGCTCAGCTCGGTGTGTACTTTTTGGGTATCATATGAATCGTTTTATTGTTTGGTCATTATTTTACCTAATTGTTATTGTAAACCTTTAAAATCAGTTACTTGGGACTGCTTTGCATCAAAACAAAATGAAACAAACGAAGACACCCCCCCCCCCCAAACATTTTACCATGCGACAGCCCGCGACAGCCCGCCTTGTCTTCGTGCTTATGTGTGAGCCTATTTCATCGCAAGACAGGCGGTGACAGCGGAGATGTGCTGTTATTCATTAGCGTGCTAAATATAGCACAAACACGCCGTTCATTGACTCTCCGCTGGTATGAAAACCAAACGCACCTCAGAACTCGGGAAAAACTTTGATTGACTTGGAAATTGGCCAATGACAAAGCAGGGCTTTTCACCTCGACCAATCCGCTGCTACCATGTCAGGCATTGTGTGTTGTTGCTGTCAGATAGGGGTAAGAGGCGATAGTCAATGATGGCTGCTTCCTTGGTTTGGTTGTTAAAGAGATTGTACGTTTTCTTGTTGACATGTCCCCTCTGTGTCCCGGGCTTCTTGAATTTGGAGGAGCTTAATGACATGAAATATGGGATTCAGATTCTTCCCGATCCTGTCATCCTGGGGCAGGTGAGTCAGAAAATGCTAACGGATATAGCTTGTTAGCTTAAATATGAGCTAGCGTTATTTATTTACTATTAATAGTGTCAAATAATTCACAAAGCGTGAGACCTGATGTCATAAAAGCACAAAACATATTAAAATAAATCTTATAGAGTTACATGAAGACGAGTAATTCTCAGGTGAAGTACGTCACAGCATGCTGTGACAGCTGTTATGTTCATTGCCACATGTCTATAACTAGCTAAAAGTAAAGCCGCAAACCATGTTTTTATCTGTTTGCATTCACCTGATGCGTTGGTAATGTGTGAACATGTGTGTCAACATTAAATTCACCGCCTTTTCCATGTCTGTCTTACGTTTGTAGACTAAGACAGAGGAGGTTATGATGGTGTCCAGTAAGTACAAACAGCTCTATGAGTGTCGACTTCCAGCCCAGGCTGTGCGTTTTCATCAGGATCCCGCCACTGAGCCTGACTCGGAGGGTTACACTGGGCCAGATATCCCAGACCTGCTCAAGCCCATGCACAATGCCCCATGTCTGCTCAAGGTTGGTCCTTAACTACTTATCTGTGTAATCCAACAGAGAAATGCTTAAGCTGTTTACACAGTGGTGTGACTACAATAATAATACAACAATAAGAACACAAGAGCAAAACACACCGAAAGCGTGTGTATATTTGCCAGCTTAAGTAAACCATTTTTAAAACGCACATGGATGCCCCAGAAGCTTGCCAAAAACAACACTGGGAGGCTCTTGATTCAGTATTCATTGGATTAAAGGTTGCTCGTCTGCATCAGTGACTGGGTACAAAAGCAGTATATCTAAGAGACACACATCTGTTAATGTACCTGTGTTTTCAATTGTTCAGCTTATGTGTTAAGGTTTACCCAAAAGCTCACAAGTACTTTATCACTATCTTCTTGCTCACAGTGCATCTTATCCATGTATCTCCTTACCAGTGTTGGGAAGGTTACTTTTAAAATGTATTCCATTACAGAATACAGAATACATGCCCCAAAATGTATTCTGTAACGTATTCCGTTACGTTACTCAATGACGGTAACGTATTCTGAATACTTTGGATTACTTAATATATT